TGTCTGTCTGTCTGTCTGTCTGTCTGTCTGTCTATCTATCTATCTATCTATCTATCTATCTATCTATCTATCTATCTATCTATCCATTATCCGTCTGTCTGTCTGTCTGTCTGTCTCTGTCTGTGTCTGTCTGTCTGTCTGTCTGTCTACCTATCTACCTATCTACCTATCTACCTATCTATCTATCTATCTATCTATCTATCTATCTATCTATCTATCTATCTATCTATCTATCTATCTATCTACCTACCTACCTACCTACCTACCTACCTACCTACCTACCTACCTACCTACCTACCTACCTATCTGCTGTATGGCAGCTCCGTCATATAAAGAGAGCCACTTTGGTATAGTGGTGAAGGCCCCAGGCCAGAAACCAGGAGACAGTGAGTTCTAGTCCTGCCAGCTGTGTGTGTGTGTGTGTGTGTGTGTGTGAGAGAGAGAGAGAGAGAGAGAGAGAGAGAGAGAGAGAGAGAGAGAGTGTTCTCCCTACAACCTTACAGACTGCTCTGGCTAGGCCCATGCAAACATCTGGCTCCCAACCCAACATCTGTTTCCCATCAGGAATTCCAGGCTGATTCAGTAACCCGGCTTAGAACAGCTCCTTGCTTCCTCACCCCCATCCAGGGACCCAGCCAGTGTTTTCACAGCTCAGTCACGGCTCACAACACCTGGGCGGATGTTAGCTACGGCCCTGCGGAGGCGTCAGGTCAGACCAAGCAGGTGGGAGGTGTGGTTTTATGGGCCAAAGTCCTCCCCCCACACACACACTTCCTTTCCAGGGTGTAAATCTTCCACACCCATTCAAGGGTGACTGGCAACGGACCCGTAGGGCCAAATTCTCAGCCGCCCACCAAGAAGATGGGAAAGCCAGCGTTTGGGCCTGGCTACATGTTACACCCATCGCTTAGAGAAGATAGAATGGCCCCGTTGCGCCACGTGCTAAGCAGGGTTGGGTTTGAAGTAGGTAAGGTTGACAGTGTGAACTGTCAGAAACCGGGTTTCGGAAGAGGAGACTGCTGTGTTTTTCCTTTCATCCATTTTACAAGGGTAGGCAACTTGGCTGGCTCAGGAATTCTGGGAGCTGAAGTCCACGAGTCATAAAAGAGCCAAGGTTGCCTATCCCGGATTTAGAATAAAGAATCCTAGGGCTGGAAGGGACCTTGGAGGCCTTCTAGTCCAGCCCCCTGCTTAAGCAGGGCATCCTATATTATTCCAGACAACTGGCTATCTAATCTCTTCTTGAAAGCATCCAGTGATGGAGCACCCACAACTTCTGGTGGCCAGCTGTTCCACTGGTTAATTGTCCTCACTGTTAGGAAGCTTCTCCTTAATTCCAGGTTGCTTCTCTCCTTGATCAGTTTCCATCCGTTGCTTCTTCTCCTGCCTTCAGGGGCTTTGGAGAATAGGTGGACTCTGATGTTTGGCCCAAAGTCACCCAGCTGTGTTTCATGCCTAAGGCAGGACTAGAACTCACCGTCTCCTGGTGACTGGCCCAAAGTCACCCAGTTGGCTTTCATGCCTAAGGCAGGACTAGAACTCACCGTCTCCTCGTGATCGGCCCAAAGTGACCCAGCTGTCTTTCATTCCTAAGGCAGGACTAGAACTCACCGTCTCCTGGTGATCGGCCCAAAGTCACCCAGTCAGCTTTCATGCCTAAGGCAGCACTAGAACTCACCGTCTCCTGGTGATTGACCTAAAGTCACCTAATCAGCTTTCATGCCTAAGGCAGGACTAGAACTCACTGTCTCCTGGTGATCGGCCCAAAGTCACCCAGCTGGCTTTCGTGCCTAAGGCAGGACTAGAACTCACCGTCTCCTGGTGATTGGCCCAAAGTCACCCAGCTAGCTTTCACGCCTAAGGCAGGACTAGAACTCACCGTCTCCTGGTGATTGGCCCAAAGTCACCCAGCTGGCTTTCATGCCTAAGGCAGGACTAGAACTCACCGTCTCCTGGTGACTGGCCCAAAGTCACCCAGTTGGCTTTCATTCCTAAGGCGGGACTAGAACTCACCGTCTCCTGGTGATTGGCCCCAAAATCACTCAGCTGGCTTTCATGCCTAAGGCAGGACTAGAACTCACCGTCTCCTGGTGATTGACCTAAAGTCACCTAATCAGCTTTCATGCCTAAGGCAGGACTAGAACTCACCGTCTCCTGGTGATCGGCCCAAAGTCACCCAGTCAGCTTTCATGCCTAAGGCGGGACTAGAACTCACTGTCTCCTGGTGACTGGCCCAAAGTCACCAAGTCGGCTTTCGTTCCTAAGGCAGGACTAGAACTCACCATCTCCATTTTCCTAACCTGACATCTTGCGGGTCTCAACTGATCTTGCCCCATCCTGTCCCAGCCACGCCTTTTAGTGTGTGGAGTCATACGCCTGCTTTTCCTTCAGCAGCCGAAGGTGACCACCAGGGATTCTCCTCCAGGGATTTTCCATATTGAGGGAGGATTCGAACCTGGCTCTTTCCTGGTCCAGCACCTTTCCCCCTTTCGGGCAGTCTTCGGCTGCTGGGCCCCGGGAAATCTCCCGTCCTTCAAACTCTCCGATCCCCTTTTGCAAGGCCTGCGTCCGAGACCCTCGACCCTTCCCAGGGATGCTGGGACTTCCACACCCAGCATCCCCAGCACTTTCGAGGCACGCAAGGCTGGGGAGGGAGGGTTCCAAGCCGCGAAACCTTGACCCGGGTTGACCTCTTGCCCCCACCCAGGACATCATCTTGAAACGGGCCGCGGACATCGCCGAAGCCTTGTACAGCGTCCCACGCAACCCGAACCAGCTGACGTCCCTGTCCGGGAACCACGGTCACGCGGGCATGATGGGCGTCAACTCCTTCGGGAGCCAGCTGGCCGTCAACATCAGCGAGTCCACTCAGGGCTCGGAGCAAGGTAGGCCAAGGAAGTCCTCGCTTACCGACCATTCCTCCCACACACGAGAGTGCTGAATGAAGGAACTTAGGGCCATTGCAATGCCCCTCTCTCCCCCCCCCGCGATCCTTTGACCGCCATGATGGCTTCCACAGGGGTAACCAGGATTGCCGTCACTGAGTGAGGCGATCACATGGGCGTGTCGCTTAACAACGGCAGTGGCCTAAATTTGGGGCTTTAATTGTGGGCACAAGTCGAGAACTACCTGTCGTCGGATCCACCCCAGCTGATCGTCCTCGTCTGGCATTTGGAAGGAGGGGTAGACTGCTCCTAAAGCTGGAGGCTCCATTTGTCAATCCACCCTAAGCCCCAATCCGACCTAGGGTGGGTCAGAGAGTACTAGGTAGTCCTCCAGTCACGACCGCAACGGAGCCCAAAATTGATGTTACTAAGTGAAACATGAGTTTTGCCCCCCATTTTACGACCTTTCCCGCCACAGCTGTGGTTGTTAAGTGAATCTGGATTCCCCACTGCTTGTCAGAAGGTTGCAAAAGGGTGTCACATAACCCCGGGACGCTATGACCGTCACAAATACGAGTCAGAGTCCGAATTTCAATCCCCTGACCAGGGGGATGTCCTAAGTCGCTTTCCCCAGCACCGTTGTGACTTCGAAACGGTCCCTAAATGAACGGTACGGAATTGTGGTCTGATTTGCAGGATACCCGCGCAGTGCAAGCAGCGTCTCACCCCGGGGCTACGTGCCCAGCTCCACCCCTCAGCAGAGTAACTACACCACAATCACCTCCAGCATGAACGGTTACGCGGGGGCCACCATGACCGGTCTTGGGGTGCCAGGCTCCCCCAGTTTTCTCAACGGCTCCACCGCCAACTCTCCCTACGCCAGTGAGTATCGCGGCGGTCTGACCGAGACCGACAATTGGGCACCGGTTGGATTCCTTGCTTGCGGTGGGTTCACACAAAGGCTCGTGCGCAACTTTGGGGATGTTTTGTGAGCCGGGGCTATGTAGAATGGAGAAAGACCTCTCTGTGCAGAAGGGCTGTTAGTCTATGCATCTGTTTTCTTCCCAGCTTGTTTGTTTGTTTGTTTATTATGTTCACAAATAATTCAAGGTGGGCAAAGGTCTCCAACACATCTTTCTCCTCCTATTATCCTCACAACGACAACAGGAACGCAGTGAAGTGAGTCGGGCTGAGAGGGTGTGCTTGGCCCAAAGTCAGCTGGCTTTCAATGGCAAAGGCAGAACTAGAATTCGTCGTCTCCCGGTGATTGGCCCAAAGTCACCCAGCCGGCTTTCATGGCTGAGCAGGGACTAGAACTCACCGTCTCCTGGTGATTGGCCCAAAGTCACCCAGTTGGTTTTCATGGCTGAGCAGGGACTAGAACTCACCATCTCCTGGTCATTGGCCCAAAGTCACCCAGCTGGCTTTCATGGCTGAGGAGGGACTAGAACTCACCGTCTCCCGGTGATTGGCCCAAAGTCACCCAGTTGGTTTTCATGGCTGAGAAGGGACTAGAACTCACCGTCTCCCGGTTGACAGGCCCAAAGTCACCCAGTTGGCTTTCATAGCTGAGCAGGGACTAGAACTCACCGTCTCCCGGTTGACAGGCCCAAAGTCACCCAGTTGGCTTTCATAGCTGAGGAGGGACTAGAACTCACCGTCTCCCAGTGATTGGCCCAAAGTCTGAGGTAGCACTAGAATTCACCGTGTCCTGTTATTGACTCAAAGTTATCCGGCTGTTTTTCATGGCTAAGGCAGGACTAGAACTCACCATCTGCGGGTGATTGGCCCAAAGTCACCCAGATGGCTCTCACGGCTAAGGCCAAACTAGAATTCACCAAGAAAGTCCAGTTACCTTTTGGAAAAGCATCTTTGGGGCAACCACGACCTGTCCTGGAGGGCAGAGAATCTCCGTAGACAACTCTAGATTTGGGTCGGTTGCGATGGCCATCACCAACCCATACAAGGGAACCACCTCCTGAATGGACTTGACCTCTTCTGGAGAGACCAAACCTCTGGGGGAGACTTCCTGGTCTGGAAAATCTCTTTCTAGCCCCCTGGAAGACACCAGTCCAACCCCAAAACTGGACACCAGAGAAGACCTTGGTGGAGGAGAAATGGAGGAGGAGGAGGAGGAGGAGGAGAAGGACTGTGGGATTCTTGGTGCTCTCTGAGCTTGGTGGCTTTCTTGCAGGCATTTCATTTCCCAACTGGGTCACATCATCGGTGCTAGAAGGCTGTGGGGTTTGAAGAGAGGAGGAGGAGGAGGAGGAGGAGGAGGAGGAAGAGGAAGAGGAGGAAGAGGAGGAGGAAGGACTGTGGGGTCCTTGGTGCTCTTTGACTGGATGGTTTTCTTGCAGGCGTTTCATGACCCAACTAGTAGCATCATCTGTGCTAGAAGGCACCGATGCAGAGAGGAGGAGGAGGAGGAGAAGGAGGGAAGGAAGGAAGGAAGGAAGGAAGGAAGGAAGGAAGGAAGGAAGGAAGGAAGGACTGTGGGGTCCTTGGTGCTCTCTGAACTTGCATGTTTTCTTAAAGACATTTCATTACCCAACTGGGTCACATCATCAGTGCTAGAAGGGAGGGCAGTTTATGGAGAGGAGGAGGAGGAAGAGGAAGAGGAAGAGGAAAGGCTGTGGGGCCCTTGTTGTTTTCTGAGCTGGGTGGTTTTCTTGCAGGCGTTTCATGACCCAACTAGGTAACATCATCAGTGCTAGAAGGGAGTGAGGTTTGCAAAAGGGGAGGAGGAGGAGGAGGAGGAGGAGGAGGAAGAAGAAGAAAGACTGTGGGGTCCTTGGTGCTCTCTGAGCTTGGCTGTTTTCTTGAAGACATTTCATGACCCAACTAGGTAACATCATCCGTGCTAGAAGGCACCGATGTAAAGAAGAAGAGGGGGAGGCCAGGAGACCCCCCCTTCTCTGCCCCACTGACCCCTGTCCTTCTCTTCACACCCCCCCTCCCTGCAGTCATGCCATCGAGCCCACCCCTGGGGGCCTCCTCCACCCCTGCCGGCGTCTTCTCCTTCTCTCCGGTCAACATGATCTCGGCCGTCAAGCAGAAAAGCGCCTTCGCGCCCGTCGTCCGGCCCCAGGCCTCCCCGCCCCCCACTTGCACCAGCACCAACGGGGCCGGCCTGCAAGGTAAGCTGGCTTGTCTTATTTATTTATTTATTTATTTATTTATTTATTTATTTATTTATTTATTTAATTACATTTATATCCCGCCCTTCTCCTTGCGGACTCAGGGCGGCTAACAATTAGATAAAATACAAACATACAATACACCTATTAAAATTAATTAAAAAGAAATATTTAAACTAATCTGATTAAAAGTAATTAAAACCAGAGTTACCATCCTGGCCGACCGTCGCAGGCTCCTCGTCTCCCCCTACGCACAGGTAGTCCTCGACTTAACAGGCGCTTCATTTAGCGAACGTTCTGATGACCGGTGTTTTTTTTTTCACACTTTACGGCCGTCGCAGCATTCCCCGGGGTCCCGTGATCAAAATTCGGACGCTTGGCAGCCGACTCGCATTTATGATGGTCGCCGTCTGCCCGGGGAGGGGGGAGTGGTCACGTGATCCCCTTCGGCGGCTTGACAAGCCACATCAACGGGGGAAGACGGATCCACTTAGCGACCGTCTTGCTCACTTAACCAATGCAGCGATTCGCTGAACGGCTGGGGCAAAACGACGGGGCAAAACTCGCTTAAAGGAATGTCTCACTTAGCGACAAAAACGTCAGGCTCCGTTGTGGTCGTAAGTCGAGGACTACCTGTAGAGCCCCCCGGACAGCATTTTTCGATCTCGGCAACGCGAAGACGCCGGCTGGGGAATTCTGGGAGTTGAAGTCCAGCTCTCTTTAGGTGACCAAGGTTGAAAAATGCTGCCAGGACCTTCACTTATTATATTGTGAACCGGAAAAATCATTTTAGGCCAGGGGTAGTCAACCTTGGCTCTTTTATGACTCGTGGACTTCAACTCCCAGAATTCCTGAGCCAGCCTGGCTCAGCTTGGAAACCTCCCCCTTTCCCCTCAGCGTGGCTGGCTCAGGAATTCTGGGAGTTGAAGTCCACGAGTCATGAAGCGGCCTAGGCCTAGGCCAGAGATAGGCAACCTTGGCTCTTTTATGACTGGTGGACTTCAACTCCCAGAATTCCTGAGCCAGCCTGGCTTAGCTTGGAAACCTCTCCCTTTCCCCTCAGCGTGGCTGGCTCAGGAATTCTGGGAGTTGAAGTCCACGAGTCATAAAAGAGCTAAAGTTGCCTACCCCAGGCCTACACCTAGGCCGCTTCATGACTCGTGAACTTCAACTCCCAGAATTCCTGAGCCAGCATGGCTCAGCTTGGAAATCTCTCCCTTTCCCCTCAGCATGGCTGGCTCAGGAATTCTGGGAGTTGAAGTCCACCAGTCATAAAAGAGCCCAGGTTGCCTACCCCTGTTTTAGGGGATTTAAAAACAGCTGAAGAAATATTAAAAATCTAAGCGAGAACATTTCCTTGAAAGAAAGTCAAATTGGCCTCTTCTACCGCCCTCAAAGTGGTTGCGGGACCCGGATGGACAGAAATAAATCCACTTTTGGGGGAGCTACGGGGTTGGTTGAGCCCCCTTTTCACCCCCAAGAGTGGTCAGGTTGAGGGGAGAGTTTAAATGTTCTTTCACACAGCATCTCCTGGAAGCCCAAACCTTTCTCCTTGGCCTGCTCTTGTTTTTCAAACAAAGAGCTTTCAGCCAACTGGGCCTCAATGAGGACCAGTCTGTTGTCTGGGCTGATTGGTAACAGAGATTGGAATTCCTCCAAACCCTCAGTAGGCAATTTTGTTTCCGACCCAACAAAGCCCTCCAGGAGCTGCCCTGTCTTAGAAAAGGACCTCCTTTCCGTGAAGCTAAAGAGCTACCAGATGGAGCAGCTTCTTCCCAGGACTTTCCTTGTGGTGCTCTTTCCTTTCTCTCTCCCTACTCCCCTTCCTTCTGTACACCGTAGAACGGTGCACACACACACCCCGAACCTCTCCTAGTGCTGGTAGGAATGGGGAATGTGCATTATTCAGTAATCAAAAGCTTCTTGGGGGGGCTCTTTAATGGTTACCTATATTTAAATCCAGGATACGGTGTTTTATTAAGAGGAATCAGGCCCTTTATTTCCCTTGTCTTCGACCTAGATTCTCACGTGTATCTTTACTGCCGTTTTTTTATTGCTTCTCTAACTCTTCTTTTTATTTTTATTTCTTGGCCTTCCTCTTTTCTTGCTTTTTCCTTCCTTCCTTCTTTCCTTCCTCCCTTCCTCCCTCCTTCTGTTCCTCTCTTCCTCCCACCCTTCGTCCCTCTCTCTGTTTCATCTATCTCATCCTTCCTTCCTCCCTTTTTCTCTCCTTCCTTCCTTCCTTTCTCTCTGTCCCCTTCGTCCCTCCCTTCCTCTTCCTCCCTCCATTTCATCCTTCCTTCCTCTCTCCTTTCCTTTTTCTCATTCCCCTCCCTTCCTCCCTTCCTTCCCTCCGTTTCATCTGTATCATCTTTCCTTCCTTTCTCTTTCTCCTCCCTCCCTCCCT